AGTAATTTGGTCTGGGAAAGGGGTAAGAGATGTGGGAAACAGGGATGGGCTGGCTGTTTCTCTCTTGGAGATACGGACTCTTGGAGGGGGTGTTCGGTCTCTCCCTGGTTGGTGGCAAGTGGTTTCTAAATCTTTGGTCTGTGCTGGCAAGATCTGTGTGAGCCGTAGAGCAGGTTGTGCCTGCACGTACAGAAGCAGAGTGCCTTTCGTTGGGAGACGTCGAAGGCAGCTTGTGGGACAGGAAGGACGGGAGGGCAAAGTTTTCTGGTTTCCCTCCATGTGTCTCGTACCGGAGGCTGGAATTACTGTGCCAAGGACGTTGCGGATGCACAGCCAAAACACTGGCAGAAAGCGGTAAATGGGGACATTCCTGCACGTACCGAGGTATTTGGCTGCAGGCTGCCTTTGCGTGTTTCAGACAAGATCCCCACCACAATCGAAGGGTTTGGCAAGTCTGTTAAAACAAGCAGTGTTATCGGTATGGAATACACTTCCTTGTGCAGCCATGGAGAGATCTGCTGAAGACCTCAGTGCTGTTCTGGGAGGACCTGCCACCATGTGAATCGTCCTTCCAATTTATAATTGCAATACTCTGATGTGCACACTTTAATAGGGCATTTTCTCCTGTTACATAGTGTTACCAGCTGCAGAACGGAGAAATCCCACATAAGAATTGGCTGAGACATGGAAATGTTTTCTTTCCCTTTGGAAAAGAGTATTACACCATTCTTAGAGCTGAGCTAGATCTGAGTGCTTTTAGGAGTAAAAGAGTCAGTTGTGGAGTGGACTGTGTGCACATTTTAGCACTAGAGTTATTTTATGTATAAATTATCTGTAAAAAGTGGTGGACCAGCAGAGAGGTGTGCAGATACCACTGACTTGCTTAGGTTAGGCTGCAGAAAAGAGTGAGGAACATTTAAGGGACTTGATCTAGATTACAGACAACATTATGCCAGATTAGTGCAGTACTGAAAGGCAGTAAACATTAGAAGAGGAAAAACGAACCATTTCTACATAATTCTATGTCCTAAATTAACTGCAGTTCCTCTGGAGAAAGGACTGTGCATCTCAGAGGATCTCCCAGATAAAACATCTGCTGAAATGCCTCGTGTCACTCCAAAAACAAACAAAATATTAGGCTCAGGGAAGACTGGAATGCAAAAGCATTCTGCAAATAGTGTAAAATAAGTCTGGGGAATATCCTCGTGTTTAACTGTTTCTAGGTCTGTTCAGCCTGTCTCCAAGCAGTCATGTCAGGAAGAGGAGTTGTAGGGCCAGGCAGTGGAAGTGGATTGAAACATCCATGGGATGGAACACTGAGAAGCTAGAAGCTGCTGCAAGCAAGGGAGAACAGGGCAGAGATATAAAAATAGCTTGTACTAAAAGAAAGGTGATTCAAGCACTTCTGTCTTCACCTCTAGGCCAATCCATGTGAATATGAAGTGAGAGGTGACAAATTTAAACCTGATGAAGGAAAATCAGGCTTTAAACAACTGAGTTAAGATGCTATTGAAAGCAGAAGGTTGCCTGTGGAACTCTGTGCCACAATGTGTGATTGAAGTCAAGATCTCACCTTGCTTAAAAAATTGACATGTTTATGTTAGGAAAGAGAGGAGTTCCACATGTTAGATAAAGGTCTATGTGCAGAAAGATCTGTGCATCCATAACTGAGCATACGGAACAGTTTCCACCCAATAGACATTCGGAAGGCATTTTATCAGTGGACGAGTTGTTTCATTACAGAACTTGTAGTATCCGCCACCAAAACGCTTGGCGTTGGCCATTAGCAGAGAGTGCCAGCAGGCCATCGCTCCTCCTGGGGTGACTCCAGCTCTCTCTTACGCACGGCAAACAGGAGGTGTCTGCTAGCTGAAAATCTGGAAGACTGCGTGGTGTCCAATACCTGTCGTTCTTTTGGTGTCTTAATGACTGCTGAATTAAGTTAACAAGGTCTTTTTGTCTTAGGGCCACTCCCTCTCCATGGAAAAATTGCAGTCATGACGCAAAGGCAGGGCTGGGAGAAAGCTGCTGCGAACAGCGTACACCGCTGGCTGTGGTGTACGTAGGGCACCATATCACTTCAATCTGGCCCTGCTCTCACAGGGATTCTCATCACTGTTCCAAAATTATTGTCTATTTGGGACTGAACGGGCAAAGATTGCCCCTAATGTTTAGGCTTGATTGAGTAATGCAAATACCAGCTTTCGAAAAGGTAAAATAAAATAAAACTATCTTGCCACCTCCCCTCCCTACAACGATAGGTCTGATTTAATATAATGAATGACGTTCCGTTTAGTTGCCTTTTATGTGTCTAAATGGTACAGACACTGGTTTTGTGCTTTCCTTCCCAACAGTGGAGGTGTAAAACTTTTGTGTGTGAAAAAGAAATTCTCTCCTAAGTGCTGCACTCCAGAAGCTAGAGCTTGAAGGAAAACTCACTGGACAGCCAAAGACTCACAAGAAAAAAATTGGAAATTTTGGAATCTCAAATTCTAGGTCATCCCTTCTTGCAGGGGTCTAGAGGTGTTGGCAGCATAAGTGTGGGGAGAGGGGAGGAGGCGTGTGCTGCATATGACAGCAGTGCAAGCGATTTTTATGAACAGGGAGGTTTCTACACAATATCACGTTGGGAATATCCCACCGATAGTCCACCCCTCCGCTCCCTCCTCTTGAGTTAGTGGGAGGGATTTGAAGTTCAGGCAACGTGTGGCTGAGCTCTCATTAGTGACCACGGACATTTCGTTCACAATGTGGAAGGCAGACAGGGAGAGGCAGATGGCTTTGAATGCAGGATTTACATAGTAATGAGATTCAGGTCACCATAGCTGTCTTTTTCTCTCTGCATTTTGTCTAGGTGTTGAGTAGTGTGCAAGGATACAGAACAGGGAGGAAAAGAGGAAAATTAACCCCTTGTTCCTAAGGAGAGATTGGTGTTAAGAATAAAAAGTTTGTCACGATAGGCTAAAGAACAGTGGGGTATGAGAACAACAAGCACAGATGAAGCTAGAAGGGCTAAGGGTAGCCGCTTTTTATGTTTTTGGCATGTCTTCTGTGGGAATGGCATAAAGCATCCTAGCCTTAAAATCCCAGAATTTCCCATAATTTTTACGTTCTGCGTTGCTGGTTTGAGAACAGATAGTTTTGGGCTTTTATCATTACCAGTCAACCCAAAACTGAGGAAGTTTGTGGACTGAAGATGGGGCATGGATTCTTGCTGCAGGGCCTGTGCTTGTTTCCTTGGAAAAAATTACCTATTTTGCTTGGTTTCTTGGCTAAAGACTTGTCTTCACATGACTATGTAATGGCGTGATTAAAACATAATATTTTCCACTGCAATTGGTAATCCTTAGTATGATCTCACTAGTGTCAGATCTTATCCTGATGACAGATGGGAAACTGGGAACCATAGGCCCTATTTCCAGCTCTGGATGGTGGCACTTGATTTGCTCAATAGCCAACCCCAGGCATTCCCAAAATATGCATCATGGCCCGAGAAATCCCAAGGCTATTTTTAAAATGATGAAAGTTTTAAAGCAATGCATGTTTCTTTCTTTCATCTGTCTTCTGCTTTTTTTTTTTGCCTTTTTTTTTTTTTTAAAATAATTAGAGGAGTATGGGAGAGTAAGTTTTTCTTTCTGTTGTACATCATCTGACTCCAGAAGCTGGGGCTTTAGAAGAAAGTGTTGCAAGATCTGCAAGAAGAGCAGGAGAGAAGCCTTAGGTGATCCCTGTGTAAAATAGGAACTATGGCACTTAACTGCATGTGGAAGTCTGGGCTGAGGTAGAAAAAAAAAAGGTGTTTGTGTGCAGAGGTGGGTTTTGTATAAGGTTTTCAGTATTTGTAAGATACTTTTGATTCTTCCACATAGAAGTTGCTTTTGAAACGCAAAGCATTTGGGGCACTAAGGGGAGGATTCATCTTGTCTCACCTTGCCCACTGGAGTTTAGGGAGCTTGTGTAGCCTCAGTGAAGGAAGGCTCAAGCCATCCCAAGGCAGTGGGACAAATCCCCCTTGGGGGGCGGTGTGTGTCTCTCCATTGACTGCACGGTCTGCACGGTACCTAGCTAAGATATGACACCAGCTTCTACCTGGCTGAAAGGTGAAATGACCCTCACCGTAAGGTCCTGTGGAAGTCTGAGCTGAGACTGGTCTTGCTTATTTGGTCATCTCCGTGTCCTGGCTGGGAATCCTCCTGGAGAGCTGAAGCAAAGCTTTTACCTTGTCCTCTCCTTCCTCAGCAGGGCTAACACCGAAACTCACAGAGCAGAGGTGCCTCGGTGGGCATCTCCTGAAGCCAACAGTAAATGCATAGCGGGAGTGCTGCCGCATTTTGGCTGTTTGGGCTGGAAGGGAAGAGGAAATCTAATCAGGTGCCTGGGACAGACTGGGAAGTGAAGGCTTCTTGGCTACTTCCTCCTGAGGAAAAGGCTTAGGTCTAATAGATCTAATTACGTTATTTCTGTTTTATGGTTACATCCATTTGTTTAAAAAGTCAGTAATCCTTTTATACCAGTCCTGTAATGATTATTTAATGTCTGGCTGTTTGTGAAGCCCTCCGAGCTGCGTGAACAGAGGATGCTTCACTGCAGGGAGTCCACACAGTTCCTCCACAGGACAACAAGCTGGGTCCGACAGCCTCAAGTGGGGGCCTTAATTGGGTGGCCTTGAATGCACAACGTTCATTTTTTTTTTTCTTCGTTTTCCCACCTGCCGAATGAAAATAATGGTAGTTCTCTCCTTTGCAAACTGCTGCAGAACATAGGACTGTCTCTTGGTGAAATGCTGCCAGAGGACTCTTCTGCAAGGATGAATATTCACCGACTTGTGCTTGGTTAGCAGATGCTTTGCTGGTGGCCAGTGGGGCCCTCAGCTCCGTAGGAGCAGTGACACTTGTTGGCAGCAGGCAGCTTCGTGAGCGTCGCGCTCTGCATGGGCCTCCCTACGCCAGCCAAGCGGATCTGCTCCCGTTGCTGATGTTTTCTAACCTCTTCCTTTGCAGAGCCCCTGAAATCATCCTCGGTTTACCGTTTTGTGAAGCAATCGATATGTGGTCGTTGGGATGTGTCATTGCAGAGCTGTTCTTGGGCTGGCCGTTGTACCCGGGAGCTTCAGAGTACGATCAGGTGGGTATGGATATTGCCCTGGATGCTGGTAAGAGCACGGATGTTCGTGGGTTGGAGGTTTTTTTCCCTTCTCTTGTCAGAGTGAACAGATGCCAACTTTTTCTTTTTTGCTAATAGGGGATATGTAATTCTTACCCCCCCCAAGTCAACTTTTTCACTCTCCACCTGGGGTATTTATTCTAGGTAACCAGTGTGCTGTTTGGTACGCTGGCTTTTAAGACCTGACTGCCTAAGTGAAATCTCAATCAAGAGTCAATGCTGCCGTTGACTGGAGAGCTCTGTACATGTCTCTCCTCACTG